AGCCTGTCTTGTGATGTAATGGTATAGCTGCGATAGAGGTGAAGAAATCAGGAAATAGTCGATGATCTGCCAGAGAACATAATTGGGAAATGGCAAATAATCGCCAGGCTTTTAGGGCTAAAGTGTGGGAATGAAAATTCTTAAGACTACAAGAAAAAGTTATTGGGAATACAATTGAAATCAACATCAAAGTGATGAGAACCTTGTTGGAGCATCACTGATCAAGAGCCTCAGAAAGAGGGTAAATCAGAGGTGAAACATTAAGTACTCAGTTACTCATCATGCCCCAAGCCCAGGCTAAGTCATTGGTGTGGACCCATGGCTACTTCTGCACTACATTGATGACTGTAAGGTCTCTCCAGGGATTTCCCATGATATGGCCAGATTGACCTACTGGAAGCAACTGTAGTCAATTGAGAGATATTGTTGAGTGACTAATAAATGAATAGATGGATGGATGGATGGATGGATGGATATATGGATAGGTGGGTGGGGGGGTGAATGAATGGGTGAAAGGGTGGATGAGTGGATGAGTGGGTGGAAGGATGGACAAATGAGTGGCTGGGTAAATAGATGGGTAGGTGGGTAGATAGATGGATGAAGGGGTGGGTAGACGAATGAATGGAAGGGTTGGTGGTTGGATGGATTAATGGATAGATGAATGGATGGATGGGTGGTAGGGTGAATGGATGGACAAAGGGGTGAATGAATGGATGGATGGAAGGGTGGGTGGAAAGTTGGATGGGTGGGTATGAGAATGGATGAAGGTGTGGGTGGATGGAAGGATGGAAGGATGGATGGGTGGATGGAAGGATAGATGGATGGAAGGATAGATGGATAGATGGATGGATGGAAGGATGGATGGATGGATGGATGGATGGATGGATGGATGAATGGATGGAAGGAAGGATGGATGGATGGATGGATGGATGGATGGATGGATGGATGGATGGATGGATGGATGGATGGGTGAGTTGATGGATAGATGGATAAGTGAGTGGATGGATGGGTGAATGAGTGGGTGGGAGGGTAGATGGTTTGGTAGGTGGGTAGATGGGTGGGTGGGTTGATAGATGGGTAGGTGGATGGATAGACGGATGGGTGGGTAGATAAATGGGTAGATGAAAGTGATGCAAAATTATTCTTTATCCCTCTTCCTTGGGATCTCAAGTCACTTATGTTACAATCCTCCCATGTGCATCCTCTCACTGTGGTCCTCATCATTTTTAAATTTCAGTTACCTGCACCATGCCTGCCATATTTTCCCACACAATGGGATCTCTTAGCCCCATCCTCCATTATTTGCCATTCCTACATCCCTCATAGAGCACTGGACACTCTTTCTGGCTTTTCTTCTGTGGCATAAAGAAATATAAATTTTCATTTATGTCTGAACAGCAACTGTGAAGCTCATTGTCTTTGTGACATCGGGGAGGTCACCTAGTCTCTATAAGCAAAATTAGTAACACAACCACCCTCACAGGAAGTGAAGACTGAATGAGTTAGTGGAGGCAAGTTACCTGTCGTGGAGAGAGGAACATAGAAAATGCTGGATACATGTCAAATGCCAGTGTTATCACTCTATGCTCACTTGTCACCCAGATCTCCAACTTGTTGCTGGGGAAGGAGGCCAAGTGTGATGAGTCACTCAGGTAATACACACTGCCATTACTTGTCACATTCGAGAGCATGAAATCTGTCTGTTTTTTTCTTACTTGCCTGACTTGTAATGGTTCTGGGATCCCCATTTTCAGCAGAGCAATTACAATACATTCAGTTCCATTGTATGGAGTGAGACATCAAAGTGTCCTGAGACCTGGAGTCATCCCAGGGTCTACATTGACTGAGAGCAAAGGTTCTGGGAGTGACCCTGAAGAGAACAAGGCAATGGAGGTAAAGAGAAGGGCTAGGACTTTTCCATTTTCTTTCCTCTCTTTCTTTCTTTTCTTTCTTTTCTTT